ATCTCAATCTCTTAACCCATAATACCCATTGGTCCGGTGTTAATAATAACTTCATCTAGCAAAGATAGGGAACAAACCTTTGATACAAACTGCTGAGTTTTTAGCTCCATCAGAGCACTTTAACCCTTCATTTTAAAGAGACAGAGCTGCTGCCTGACCGTGTACAGAGGGAAAGATTCAGGTTCTGTATTTTCCTGTCTCTAACTGCAGCGCAGTCAGCCTTATGTATAGCAGCTTGACAAACTTTAGGGAAACTGCGTTAGTGGAATGGCTGGTGGAGGTACTTCGCAAAACTGCAGTGGACAATCGAAAGAAGGTAATAATATGAAAAGGTTTTCTGAAAATTAAGAATAAAGGTCCAATTTCCTTGCAAACATTTAAAAAAGTAATAATACTTGTGGCAAAAGATGTAGGGGGTTGATTCAGGGCCCCCCCTCTACCCTGGACCCAGGACAACTGGCCCGGAGCCAAATCCATAGGAGCCAAAGCCTGCTGGTCAGTAGCCAGGGTATAAAAGGCAGAGTGAAAGGTGAACAATGAGTCCAATTTATAGCCATTTGAGTGCCAACGTTGATTAAATTTTCATGTATTTAAAAAAGACAAAAACCCTTGGATCACTTTAAGTGTGAGAAGTTTCTTCAGCTGTTTATCAGTTTCTTTTAATGCAACTCAGCCTTTTGTAATGATGCTGAACCAAAGTACCAAAGATAAACTGGAGAAATGGTTGATTTACAGGCCTTTCTTTTAGAAATACGGGAATGTTGCTCTGCTTAGACAGAAAAACTCATTAGATAGGTGTCTGAACAATTCCCACAGCTCTGCTCTGATCTTTATCGTTATCATAGAAACATTAGATCCGATTCTACATTTTTAAAAAGCATAGTTTGGGGTTACTAAAGAAAGTAAAACTATTTCTTAACTACAAAATATAGCCCTTTGATGTGCAGCAATCCCCCCTATCCATGAGGATTGATTGACACTTTTAGATTTTTAAATTTTATAAATTTCTACTAGATAGATATTGCATTTTTTTTCCTTCATTAAACTGTCACAGGTACAGAGCAACAAAATTAACTCTCTGCATTCAACCTATCCCCTTGGAGAGAGGAGCTGCCATTGTGCGGCGCCCGGGGAGCAGTGTGGGGTTAAGGGTCTTGCTCAGGGACCCAGAGAGGAGGCTGTGGAAGTCGGGCTTGAACTCAGAACCTCTGAATTCCAAGCGCAATGCCCTAACCAATAGGCCACCACTCCCCCAGATATTAAAAAGTGGAAGTAGAAATTCATTGATTGAGGTAGATATTACCAGGTTGAGGTAGATATTAATGCTTCAAGGTAGATGTTAATATATGTATTTTGTATTTGATGTACTTTTAAATTGTGTGCATGCGACAGAAAAGTACCAGGATGCACCTATTCAGCAGGAAATCTCCATAAGAACAACAGGTCTGCCGAGAAATATGATTTTTTTCTTGTATGGAGACACGTTTTAATCAATGTGCTACAGTCAGTGTCCAATGAATATAATCTCTGCTCAGTGGATGGCATTTCTCGCTTTTGCCATCAAAACCGTACTAGATCATGTCTGAAAAAACATTAAGGATATTTTTAAAAGTTCCCTTTTTCGTTCATATTTCAATCTTTCATATTTCAATCCTTTTCTCATCAGTCTACAAAATGTTTGATTAACAAACAAGTAGCCAATCCACCTTTGACAGTAGGGAAAGTTGATTGGCTAAGGTTTCGAAGGCACCACCATGGTCAGAGTTTATGGATTAAAATTTTTTTGGGTGGGGGGGACCATAAGTGCAAGAATCCCATGTACCAATTTAGTCATTTTCGATGAATCTGGAAACCTAACTTCTAAGAAAAATCCTCTTTAATGCCTTTAAGTTTATTTGCTCTTATTATCTGTGTCATCTGCCCACAACCATTGCCAAAAAAGCAGCCAATGAGGCACAAGTCACCACTTTCAAACACTTTGTTTATATGCATGGACTCAAATATTTAAAAATGATCAAGCATGTATTTTATCTAAGTTAGGATGACTATAAACAAAAGGCTGAGGTGAACTTTTACATTAAACTGAATCTGGTGTGTTTTACTGTATGAACCCCTCCCAGCATGGGGGAAGAAATAACTTTTATAAAGCAGACCATCAAAGTCTTAACTTTGTGCACTGCAACAATAAACCCTTAAAAACAGGTTGGCCTTTAATGGGTATTACAGATGGTTGTGAAGGGGACAGGAGAGGATAGAGAGCCCCACTTATTTCATTTGTAATGCGATCAGCGCCCGAGTAAGACAATACCCAGGTTGGGACTCTCATACAAACATCCTAATGAAATTATCTTAGTTGCATTATGGTTGTAATGGAAGTATGCACAACTAGATTTACAGTGATGGATAGGCAAAGACTTTTAGCACACAGTATATAGAAAATATTGTGTTTTCTTTGATTTATTATTATTCTTATTTTCATGTTTGATCCTTAAACATGTCTAACAATCAAAAACTGGAAAAACCTTTTCTGAATATTTTACTTTAAATAGACCAAATGATAACATTTGTCATTAAGAAAATGTTCTGTGAGAAACAGGAGGAAAGGGTTTCTGAAATGTGGCTCCTTTTCTTTCCCTCGGTTGAGTGGCAGAAAAGGAAACACCTCCTATTTCCTGAATCCTGCCCGCTTTCTGGGTTTCTGTTTTCATCCTCAATGCCACCTGTGTCATTCAGATGTCAGCAGCAGCCTAACAACTAATAAATCACTGCTGCTAAGTGAGCCTTTCCTTTTCACTGCTTGCACACAACAACTAGGCTAATTTATAACCAGACGAGGCATGAGGCGAAGGCTAAAACTGGCTGTGAGGGTCAGAGGGTTATCTGACAAGTCTTTGCTTGGTGTGAAGGACAAAAAGCCGTTACAGACTTCTGCTAACAGAGTCCATCCCTCTAAGAGTTAGAAAAAGTGATACTTAGCGGACAAATCTAACAAAAACAAAATCTGCTTTCAGCTTTTCTAAATTACCATTAATTGTAGTGTTAATTATTATATCTTTATGGTTTAAAAATGTTTACTTATCATGATAATCCCTCATTGGTGATTATGTTTACCTACTGAAACTATTATCATCCTTATTGGTTTTTCTAGTTGTTCCAGCTCTTAGTTCTGTGCTTTTTTTAAAAGAGGAAAACTGCAGTTATTGGAAGCTGTCTAGCCTAAAGTTGCAGTGATTAATTTAACTCATATCCTGATGTATTTTCCATAATCTTGATGTATTTTTCATAAAGTTGTTCTTTGATTTATTTTGGTTTCATTTGTTTTTTAGCCTTTACGGTGTTCAGTCTCTTAAGAACTATCACCAAAAAAAATCATTATGCCAGTAAATACCAGAAAACATGGTGATAAAAGCTTTAAGTCCATCTCTCTAAGAATATCCTTTTTCTATTTCTTAGTGCTGAGCAAGATAATTATATATTTAGCAAGCAGTTTTGGAGCCACCTCTATTATAAAAAGTGCAACTTTTTGAGCCAATCCTCCCGACGGCGGCCGACTGTCCTGCTGCTTCGTTCCACTGCGGCCTACATGCTTAAAATAGAGAGCTAGATTCTGGAGCACAAACTGTGTGTGTGTCTTTAAAACTGCTGCTGACTGAGATTCAGCATGAAAAGAAATTTACTGCATCCTTTAAGTCAATTAGGTCAAAAATAAAGCTGCAATTATTCAAAATTACATCTTAAACACCGTCCACTAAAATAATATTTAAAGCATTTCACCCAATTCTTAAGTTTCTGCCCTGTCTAATCAAAAGAGGGAGCAAAGGAGATTTAGCATTAGTCAGATGGAGACAGGTCTGATTTCCTCACTGGGATGAGAGGGAGTGAGGTCAAAATTCGTAAACAGCTGATGATCCAACAAGGTGCAGCAAATAATGCCAAATAACACTTTTTTTAAATTGCATTTAAGCAAAGGTAGAATGATTTATGTAGTTTCTCAAAAGTGGAAGAAAACAAAATGTTGAGATTTAGCAAAGAGGTTTCTGCAAAAACATGATCAGAAAAAAGCTGCCCTTTGTTTACAGGAACTTTGTAAAAAAAAAAAAAAAAAAAAAGTAGCATTTTAATAATGAAATATACACAAGAACCAAAGCAAAAAATACTTTTCAAATATACTATGTTCAGATAAATGGATAGAAACCCTGCTCAGGTTTCCTTTAGATTTTTAAACAACAGAGTCATTTACTGAGTTTGGAGAAAAGTTTTAGATTACAGCTGCAGCTAAATCTATTATCTGCCTGAGTGTTGAGTGGAAAGCAGACAGCAGTCATGACAATCCGCAACAACTCATTTCAGCAATGCAACCAAAAAAGTCGAGAACCATGAAGCCTTTCAACAAAGGCCGATAAAATCCAGCCGACCGGCTCCACAAATACCACTCTTTTGCAGCTTTCCTTATTATACAGACAAGTAAGAAATCAATGCTTACTTTGTTATTGCGTTGGATAATATATAAAATCTGAGGACAATGTTCTGTTTAAAAAAAAAAACAAATGGGTGAAACATTTTTCAGTGTTTTGTAACCAAACTCCATCTGAGTGTTGGATAAAATAAATCAGGCAAAAAAAGAATCTTTCACTTCAACTCAAAATAAAAATCAGAGGCTTCAGTCTCATCTGAAATAAAGTTTTTAGATCCATGGCCTTTATTCTGTTGAATCCCACCAAATTCCCTTCCCCCAAATGGCCCCTTTTCTCATCCCCCCCAGTGCATCCCTCCACCTTGACCCTTAGGATTTAATATTCAAAACCATCTCTTATTGCCAGGAGACGAGAACAATTTGAAACGGTAAGAAGTAAAGTAAAAGAAATGCTTTACATTTGACCTAAAATGAGTCCAACAGTAGCAAACCCGTTCTGGTAACTATAGAGCAGAGAGAATAAGGCAGATGGACACACTGACAGAACTTCTGAAAAGTGCTTAACTAGAAACAGAATAGCACTCACCAGATAGTTCCCGACATCTGAGCTCATAAACGTAAGATTCCTCTCGCTTGTCTTTAACCTCTTACATTTTTCCGAGCTTCCATATGGCACCCCCACCCCTCCGACAGGCAAAAAGCAGAGAACGGCGCAGCGGAGGGAGAGTCAAACACCCGAGAAGGGAGCAGGAGAGGGAGGGGAGCATTAGTCCTGGTGTGGAGAAGATGGAGGGGACTCCTGCAGCTGTGAACCCTCCCCTCCCACCCTATCAGTATCTCCTCGATTTCAGTTCTGTTCTCCATGTTTCTGCAGCACCGCGAAAAAACAGCCACGGAAACAAAGTGATCTCCTTACATAGAGCCCAGAGGAGCAGGCAGAGGGAGGGTGAGGACGAGAGAGAGAAACATGCGCAGGCAGCAACCGGGAACGAAAACAAGTGAGCCATTAGGAAGGCCGAGGCAGCCGGAGGAGAGCAGGTTCAAGTTTTCAGAATTCTCTTCACTTTGTCACAAAACTCACACGACTGAGTGGGAGAGGAACCGGCGCCGAGGAAAGGAAAGAGTCCATAATATCTTCCAGCTTCTTTCAAACCCCCGCTACTCCCTCCCTCTTTCTCTCACTCTCTATCACTCTTTCTCTCGCTCCGGTAATAAGCCTGGCTGCTGCCACCCACCCCTCCCTCCTCCAGGCACTGGAATGCAAAGAGAGACTTCCAAGAGGCCCAGTCAGACAAACCTTGGAGTCCGTGCACCTTGACCTTTAGGTCAGACGTAGCGTGTAGAAAGGCTTGGAGCTTTAACTGTGTCTGCATATAATTAGATATGTGTAGGTTGGGGGGGGGGGTACCTCATGAGATCATGTGTCTGTAGCCAGAGAGACACTTGACAAAGATAATGCAGTCAGACACCTACACCCCATCACCGGCTGCTCTTACCTTCCCTTCAACACAATAAATGTATTGAAAAGTTCAGGCTGAGCAAAGAGCATCATTCAATATAACCTTTGTTCTCTTTTCATTCACTCAACAGCTCCTGTTAACAACAGCAAAACTATGTTATACAGTCTAAGATGATTTTTGGTTTAGTCATAGATAGGGCTGCAACTAATGATTATTTTGCAAATTGATTAATTTAGCGATTATTTCCATTGAGGCATTGAAGGGAAAGCCTTTTTCACTGTTTAAGTTTCCTTTGTTTTTTTAAAAAAAGTGGTTATTTCATTCTGTGATAAAAATGCTGATAAATGAGGACTGAAACAAAATTTCCTTGGCTATTAAAATTGGTCCATCATATTGATTTAGATCTTAATCCAGTATTTTTTAATTATTCATAGTTCAATTACATGAAAAGACGATTCAACATCTATTATTGGACTAAAGTGGGACAAAATCAGAGCGACCAAACAGACCAATTTTCAAGAACTCTTTCTGGACTAAATCAAGACTATGACAGAGCGGCCAGATTTAGCCGGAAAACCAACGTCTGAAGAAGGTTCTGGGTTTGATTTCCGATACAAACTCTTTTTGTTTGCATATTTGCATGTTCTCCCCCTGCATGTGTGGGTTCTCTCCGGGTACTCTTAACTTCCTCCCACAGTCCTAAGACACCAAGATAATAAGATTCTCATGTTTGTCCTTATGTGAGTGTAGGCCCCAGCATCACTGCAACCTGATGGAAAAAGTGGGAAAAGATGGATGGATGGGTCATGAGTCATCGCGCAGCTTTCAAGTTTAATAGTCGTTAAGTATAGAAATGCAGAGCAAAACCCAACCTGGTTCTGAGGGTGAAAGTACAGCATCTGACCTAAGGTTGGGTTATATGATGACTATGAATTTAGATAGTGCTAAAGTGTTGGGAGAATTGCCCACTGTACCTCCTTGTATTGTTGTGCTGTCTTTGCTGTTGTTCATATTAAGATGTCTCCACATTTCTGGCAATGATTGCCAAACTCCTCTAGTGCTTTTTCTGCATGATATCCTTACCCCCACTATTGGCCAGACAATCAGCCGAAAATGGCTGCACACTCGATGTCTTCCTCTGCTGCTATGTGTGGAGATCTACAGTTTAAAAAGCATTTCTATCAGTATTATTCATCTCTTACTTTCATTTGAACAGGTAAAGCCTCTTTAAGATCCAAATCTCTTCCCAAGAAAGGCAGCAAAAAAATTTATTCAAATCATTATAATAAAAATAAATGGATTGTATGAAATTCCAAAAAGTAAAGTAAAATTAAATATACTTTCTAAATATTTCTATTTCAATGTACAGAAAACTTTTACTGTTTTGATTTTGAAAGTCATGTTTGATGGTATAAGAAGCCTCTGAATGTGGACTATTTAAATCTTTGTGATGCCTTTTGCTCGTTGGACCTTTTTTTGCTCCAGCGTTTTAGCCATTTGTAGATAGTAAATCAGTTAATCAGTCTTATCAGAATAAATTTCGGTTGATTTGATGTTATCCCTTCTACTCAACCGTCTATTGTTGCATATACCATGCAATACTTTTGAGCTTTTATTAACTATGTATTAATGCTATTCTTTCCTAAAAACCATGTACAGTGGTATTTAGCTTGAGTCATGCTTGTCAAGGTAATTGTCATGAATTCTGGTCTGTGAGCAGCAGCCCTGGCGTCATGCCGCCCACCTGGCGTGCAGCGGTGCACTTTCTGCATGACCACAGAAGGACCATGGCAGCAGCTACATGGGTAAAAGCAATCCGGAATGGTCCGTTACTGCGCACTGGACTCTGCTCTTCCAGCTGTGCTTGTGCAGAAATGCGTCTTTGCTGCTTAGCGCAGAGTCTGAGTTTTACACTCCTCACTGATGACTCTTCCTGCTCTCGCTACTTAATAAACTAAAAGGGGCTGATCATCCTCTGCCAAGCATAAGAAAAAAAAAAATTCCTACTATCAAGATTTAATTTCTACCAGCTCACAAGTGGTGATCCAAAACATTCTTTAATTTCTACCAAAAGGAATCCCTAAATTATATCCTAAGCAAATGTTTAATTGCATAATAATTATTTTTGGATAATGGCCAAGATGAAAAGGTACATATATCATGACTCTGACAGCTGCTCATTTCCCTTAAATGATGCCCAGTTACCAATCATGACTCATCAGATCCACCTGCTGCTGCTGCTTTATATACGGCTTATTCCCAGCTATCAGGGCCAGATCATTGTTTGTGTCTTTGAGTTTGAAATGGATGCCATAGTTCATGTTCTCGTTCTCGGAGGCCAGTAGTTTTTAGTATTGTCTTAGTGTTCCTGATCATGTCCTGCCTCTTATCCACTGAGCGAGCCCTGTTACTTTTTTGGCTCAGTGGAGGGAGCTAGTTTTAAAGTTCCATAGTTTTCCTGATACCCTGCCTTGTTCTGCCTCTCAAGTACTGAGCTTGCCTGTTCCCATCTTAACAGTATGCCTGAACTCTCTGTGGACTCCTGGAACCCTGGATCTGCCTGTTCCTGTTCTGATCGGAACCCCTGACTGGGCTACTGACTCCTGGATCTCTGAGCCTACCTGTTCTGAATTGTTTCACTGACCTGGCTCGTATTCACGCTTGTTCATTGGGGCTGCATCATCTGGTTCACTCTGAGCGGCTCCCACATCATCTCATTGGCAGTCCATCGGCTCGATCCTACCTCCCTCTAAGGAGTTGTACTGAACTGCTAAACCAGAATTGCCACTGATGGGCAGTGCCCCGCCTCCCCCTGCTGCCGCTGCAGATCCACCGTCCTCATTTTTAATAAACGCTTTAAATTTTCCCACTGTCTGTCTTGCCTTGAACATTGGGTCCTAAGTTTTAAGGCCTGACAACTGTTCTTTTTTAGCAAATATCTAAGCCCTGAAAATGTGTATTTTGGCTCTTAAAGGTATCAGACTAGGGCTGCAACCAACGATTAATTGGCAAATTATCAAAATCTGTCTGTTATTTTTTCGATTGTTTGATTAATGATCAGATTATTGGTGTGCTTTGGTGGAGAAGCATGCATTACCCATGTACAGAGGCCTTAGTTCTCGACCGCGGCCGTCCAGGGTTCGAATCTGACCTGTGTTCCATTGCCGCAGGTCTCTCCCCCTCTCTCATACCCCCTTTCCTGTCAGCCTACTCTTGATAAAACCAGCCACTAGTGCTGTAAAACACAAAAAAACAAAATTAAATAATCAGATAGCCAAAGGTTCCTTACAGAAGACTTTTTACTAAATTAAACCAGGTGAAACTAAAACTTTTCAACTTGAGTTATGGATAGAGCAGATTGAAAGATGAAAACGTTTTCTTTATCTTAAAGGTAAAATATATTCTCTCATTCTTTTTACAATCCTGATATAATTCCTGCTCTATGTGGGTTGCTCCATCAGCTAAAGGCATGTTTTAGAGTCTTTATACTCCAGTTCATGATTAATCAATGACTAAAGTAGTTGATTATTTCAATAGTCAATTAATTGTTTCAGACCTAGTTCAGACTTTTTTCTGCCCTTCTAAAGAAGAGACTAATCAACCAAAGTGGGATAATACCACACTACTCTGCAGGTGTTTTACTTTCCAGCTAGAAAAATAGCACCACAAAACAACTAATATATCATGACAATATTTCTTTATCTATTGTCTTTATATCTATATTTGACCTTGGAAGGTTTATAAAAGTGGGATGTAGGACCTGTAATACTTACGACCCTGTGTGTCTTGGAACCTCTAGAAGAGACTGTAATAAGCTGTTTTTGTGTGTTTTTTCTTTACCAGGTTTGTTTGTTTCCACCAGGGCCGGTATTTATCTTCCTTTTCATGAGTCGTACATCTTGGTCCCTTGCTCTGCTCAGGAGAGGACGGTTCTTTCTGTCCATTCAAGGCTGTGTTGTAGCTGTTTGAAATGCAAAGACCTATTATTGAGAATCACTCAAGTATCCCATCATTGAGGTTCTCTTCTCTTCTATTCTATTCTATTCTATTCTATCCCGCTTAATGCGGTTCCTTCTCTCTCTCTCTCTTTCTGTTGTGAAAGCTGTACAAAACTAAATTTCGTTTGGTATACACTCCGTGTATACAAAAGACAATACAATTTGACAATAAAAGTTATCTAAGTCGAAGTCATAAAACAGAACAGAATAGAGTAGAATAGAAAAAAAACTGTGGCGGAAACTTAATGCTGAAATTCATTGTGATTACTCGATTATTGAAATAATGGTTAACCAATTTAGTGATCGATTAATCCTTAACTTGAGCATAGAAGCTGTAAAACATGCTTTCAGCTAACTCACACAATTATACAAGATTTTTTTAAAACATATATACAAATATTTTGCATTTAAGATCAAAAGAAAACTTTTCTGTCAAAATCACCAGAAATCCTCATGTGGAAAAGTTTTAATTTCCCCTGATTAAACTGTGTAAAAAAATCTTGTTTTAGGAACATTTTTGGTATTGAATATTAATCGATTAATCAAAAATAAAAAAATTTACAGATTAATCGATTAGCAAAATGATCATTAGTTGCAACCCCAGAAAAATCCTTATTATTTGTATATCATGTACAACTAGAGCCACACCAATACATTGTTATTAAAATAATAACAAATAATGA